TTCACCGACTCATCAGGAGGCTGAACCCTCAACAGTCTGCAGAATCCCCTCACTGATTACACTGTAAATGATAATCTACCTTAACCAAAATCAAAGTAGACTATCACTCACCCACACCAGATGGAATATATATATTTTGCCTGTTATCTTAACGATGTTCATTCGTATGCATTTACTAATCGTATACAAGAAGTGAGCGGAAGGAAATGGGAGATGGAATTCTGACAAGGTTCTAAATAATCACCGCTGGAGCAGACTACTCTAGAATGGCTCATACGGCCAGTCATTTGTGCTGCATAACATTTTGAATTGAGCAGCAGTCATTAGCTATGGTAAGTAGCCGCCTCTACAGACCGGACAGGACCAGTTCGGGTGTGGACTGTGGAAGCCCCACATCCAATTCTTGGAGTCGCAATTTCTCCATCAAATGGCACGGCGTAGACAGATGTCACAGGCTACGCGGCTCCTTCATGCTAGGAACACAGGCACACCATCCACAATTGTAGAGGCATTGTCGTTCCAGGTGTATTGAGTGTGTGTGTGCGGTGTGTTTTATGAAAAACCCCAAACTCTCTCTCTCTCTCATTCCATCCACAAATCGTCACAAACCATCCATAAAGCAAAAAACAGTATCGATACACAATGTAGTAGAAGATGCATGGTTGGCCACATTTATGTGTGGTGGTGTGTGTTTCTAAAAAAAAAAAGAATTGTGTTGTGTGTTTGTGTCTGTCTGTGGACATCAACAGTAAGGAGCAAGTTGATATCGGCTGAATGTTCCACCTGACCTTGGCTGTAGGATCAACATCAGGATCATCGCTCAAATCTTCTTTAGCAATGAGACCTGTTATTCCGGATTCCAAGGCGCATATCACCCTGTTATTCTGCACCTTTCGCACGGTTGCCTGGACAAGCTTCCCCACTGCGATCGTTTGATCGGTCTCCCCAGTCAGCATAAAGAATTCTGTCTCTTGGGATGGTGGTTCATAAGGAGCTCGCCAGTCGGCATAGCCATTCATGAGCTCCGCCTTGATCAACGCCAGCGTTTGAATCTTTCGCCCCTCTCCACTTTCCATCAACGAGTTGGCAAATTCTTCAACATCCACGCCAGACAGAAGAGTGGGATTCTCCCTGACATCATTTACAGCCAAGTCCAGTTCTGCTTCAATCTCCTCCGCTTCATCGCGAGTAAGACCCCTATCGAGCAGCCAGACGTGCTCCGCAAGCTTTGTTGCCAATGGATAGGACAAAGGATGGATTCGAGTATCTTCCAAGGGGTCCACAAATTGATTGACTGATGCTGCCATGCCTGAACTGCGCACTCGTATGGTTGATGCACAGTTGAAAAACACGAAGGGGCGTGCTCCTGGCTCATTGCTCACAAAATCTAGCAAATCCTTCCTGCATGTCAGCCGCCCTTCACGGCTGACACCTTGCAGCAGATAAGTCGCCTTCCTAGGCCCGAGCCCTGGCGCAAACTGCAGGCAACCACCTTGCCATTCATGAGCGACAGCCATGTTGATATCAATGCCGACCTGCAAAACCACACAAGCCACAACAAGAACGGGCAACAATAATTGAGCATCATTGGGCCTCGCTCTGCTGCACAACATCCTAAATGCGCGTGGACCTGAAAATATTCCCCATACATTCAAGATGCTCAATTGCTCCAAATGTATCTGGTCTATACAAACGGTCCACACACAGGTGGAATGTAGAGTAGTGCATCGACGCCATCGTCAAATTGATCCATGGCCATGGCTTTCCCTGCCCAGCGCATCACAGAGATCGTCTATGAGGCACACTGCTGCACCCCAAATTGCAGGTAAGCATCTTGCCATCCCTGAAGCAGCAACAACGCTGTGTCTTATGTTGGCATCGGTGCTGGCCTACATAATCAACCAATGCAAGACATGGAAACAACGATACACAATACTAACGACTGAATAAATTCTTGTGGCTTCAACTGGTATGGTAACTGATCATATGAATTCGCAAAAATGCTGAAGTATTATATCGAGAAATCAGAAGAAACATAACAAAACGAAAAGCTAGGAAACAGATGGTAAAAACGAGGATGACAACTGAATGAATGATCATTCCTTTGCCTGCTAGAGGAAGGACATACTATCATACTATCTGCTATCGTCTTCCCCCAAATACAACATACAGCAGGGCTGCACCAGCCACCAGCCGGTTGGACCGGACCGGACCCAATCGGGCCGGTTGGAACCCCGGTGGTCCAACCGGAGTTCCGGTTGGGCCCAAAACCGGGTCAATTTTTATTTATTTATTTTTTGATGATGGGGTTGGACTGCGCTTGTCGAGATCTCCCCGAATCCGCAGAGATAATATTGATCTGCAAAAAACAATTCCATGGGGTTGGTCGGGGGGAGGGGTGGTGGGTGTGGAAACTCATGGGTTGAGGGTGGGCTGCATTTGAGAGGTTTCCTCCTCCTCCTCCTCCTCCTCCTCCTCCTCCTCCTCCTCATCATCATTATCATCATCATCATCATCATCATCATCATCACCATCATCATCATCATCGCCATCGTCGTCGACATCATCGTCATCATCCTCATCACCCTCATCATCATCATCATCATCATCGCCGTCGCCGTCGTCGTCGTCATCATGGTCGTCATTGTCGTCATCGTCGTCACCATCATCATGACGTAATCCTTCGTCGTCTTCGTCGTCGCCATCATCATCATGTCATCCTCCATCATCATCATCATCATCCACTGTCCATTTAATCACCGACACGTCCGCTACCCTCCGCGCGTGCCCACTACTTTGCTCTCTCTCTCTCTCTCTCTCTCTCTCTCTCTCTCTCTCTCTCTCTCTCTCTCTCTCTCTCTCTCTCTCTCTCTCTCTCTCTCTCTCTCTCTCTCTCTCTCTCTCTCTCTCTATCTCTATCTATCTATCTACTTTGCAAACTTCAGACTTCGGCTTTGCAGAAGAAGAAGAAGAAGATAGTAAGCATCCTCATCCTCATCCTCATCATCATCATCATCGCCGTGGTCGTCGTCATCATCGTCATCATCATCGTCATCATCATCATCATCATCATCATCATCATCGGCATCACCGTCGTTGCCATCATCATCATCATCATCATCATCATCATCATCATCATGGTTGTCGTCGTCGTCATCATGGTCGTCGTCGTCTTCACCATCATCATGATGTCATCCTTAGCTGGCGTCGTCATCATCGTCGTCGCCATCATCATGATGTCATCCTCCATCATCATCATCATCATCCACTGTCCATTTAATCACCGACACGTCCGCTACCCTCCGCGCGTGCCCACTACTTTGCTCTCTCTCTCTCTCTCTCTCTCTCTCTCTCTCTCTCTCTCTCTCTCTCTCTCTCTCTCTCTCTCCGCGCGCGCGCGCCCGCTACCCCCCACGCGCACCCACTACTTTGCTCTCTCTCTCTCTCTCTCACTTCGCAAACTTCGAACTTCAACTTTGCCAGAAGAAGAAGACGACGCCGAAGAAGAAGAAGAAATAGAAGAAGAAGAAGAAGAAGAAGAAGAAGAAACAAAGAACAACAAAGCAAGACTTACCTTTACCGATAGACGGCGGGCCAGGGAGATGGCGATCCGAGGCCGGGGCGGACGTGGGTGGGGCCGACGCAGTCTCGACCTCATTCAATTTCGACGAAGTGTCGAAGCGACGGGTCCTGCTGCTCGAAAGACGCTGGAGGCGGGAGGCGGGATGGGGGGGGCTGTGCCTGGCGAAGGTTTGGATCGCCGCCCAGAACTTCGGGTGGTTTCGCACCCGAATGTTCAAAAACAGGCGGCCTATCTGGGCCGCAGACCTCACCAGATCGACGGCCCAGATAGGCCACCAGTTTCTCAATGATCTGGCGGGCCTACTGGACCCAGTTGATTTTTTTTTGGGGCCGGGCGGCCTCCATGACCCGCATGGAGGCCTCCCGGCCTCCCCGGCGAATTGTGCAAATTGCAACCGGGGGGGAACCGGCGCTCTCAACCGGCCCGGTTCCGGTGGGGGAAGGGGGGCCCGGTGGGACCGGATATTCACCCTTGACATACAGCCATTATCCCTGTATGAAGACAGGAAATTGCCCCAAATACAGGTATAATGGCCGTATGTTATCGTATCAAGACTGGAAACTGCACCAAATACAGGTATAATGGCCGTGTTGCGTTGCATTCAGGCGGGTATGGTAGCCAGGATACCATCTGCTACCGTCTTCCCACGAGGAGAACCTCGCGTCATTATCCCTGTATCAAGCCTGGAAGTTGCCCCAAATACAGGTATATTAACGATATGGCTGTATTCGGGGAAGACAGTATTGCAAAATGGACTGATTCTGGTTACCGCATTCAAAAACAAGACAAGTGATTCACACCACTGAACACCAGCCATTCATTTGTCTTTTCCCATTTTTCTTGGGTTTCAGTGTGTTCTCAAGAAGCCGAGAAACTCTGGAACAGGACCATCTACTCAAGGGCAGGCCCTAGAGCAAATTGCAGTTATGATGTTTATAAACAGAAGCAAATTAATCCCAGCGGACAGCACTATTGCAGCCTTGTTATTCTGCCCCCTTGAAGCCACCAGTACTATTTCAAGGAAATCCGAGCCAACCCCTGAACCAACACACACACTTGGCTGTTGGACCATTAATACAAGTAGGCCTCAAGGAAATCAGAGCAGTTGTAAACGGTGGTGGGCCGTGTCCATTGCATCATCCTTATCCACATAATGTTCACATTAAAGCACAACTAGCTTTCCCTCATATTGGCCTCGGGGTGGGTCCCCGCACCTTTCGGAGGGCCGAAACGAACGGTGGCCGCTGATGAATTGTATCAACGGCCGCCGCCGTTCCGCCGAGCCCCTGATATATGTGGTACAGCCTGTATTCACACTTTTACCAACACTGGGAAAGGTAGCGGTGCATTAAGCACTATGAAAATGAAACAGAGAAAGATGGGCCCCTCATAAATGGAAAGGATTAGACTAACTTTGCTAGCCAGCTGCCAACAAGCGGGAGGCATGGCAGGCAAGTACGTCTCTCCTTGGAACATACTCACGCTAGCACATCTTATGTGAATCTGACCGTAGTTATGGCCATACCCGGATGCATCTGACCACAATTCCATCCAAAAATAGGTAAAAAAGTCCTGGTGGCAAGTATGCCCTTGGCGTATCCATCCACAACTTTGCTAGCCAGCAGCCAACAAGCAGCAGGCATAGCCGGCAAGTACGTCTCTCCTTAGAACATACTCATGCTAGCACAATCTTATGTGAATCTGACCGTAGTTATCGCTATCCTCAGATGCATCTGACCACAATTCCATCCAAAAATAGGTAAAAAAGTCCCGGTGCGAGTTGTATGTATGCCCTTGGCGTATCCATCCACAATATCCTCATCACTTGCTGAATCGTGCCAAGCATTTGAGGTCTGTGAGAAAGGCCGCTTACCTGGCTTGTTACTGTCACCATAACCTGCTCAATAGCCTCCATGAGCTCATCAGAGGAGATGAGATCTTGTGCAGGATACCAGTTGTAACTTAGAACCTCTTTCCCGGTTCCACAGAGTAGAGCAACCAAAGCCAACGGGTTCTGCGCAAGACGCCCAAGTCCAACAGCCCTCCGTACAATGGCTGCACGCGAACAAAACCATCAGCACACATACTCGGGCCCCAGCAAAAAATGGCCATTCCTCAAAGACCACCTATCGGGCTGCACGTTAGTTCATAAAATGGGATAACGCGAAACAAGACAGCAAGTTCATCAAGCCGCTGCCGGAACGAATGACGCTGAACCACATGGGCTTAAGTCACCCGATTGCACATTCTCTTTGCGCGAAGGTGTTAGCCTGTGTTGTCCTCGAATACAGCATCAACTGTTTTGTTTCTAACTCACAGCCATCGGACATGGACCACAAGCCTAAACTTCCGACACCATTCACTCCTCCAGTTTCTTTATTTTCATTTCCAGCAGCTGCCAAGGATTTGAGAAGACGAGTGGCTATACCCAGAAAGGAAACGGTGACAAAACAACAGTCGAAAGACCAGACACAACAATTGGCACAATGAATCGCAAGCGCTGTCTCTGATCTCTCGCAATCTAGAGCATCAGCTATTATATGAGACACTGCTAGAAGGAAGTTATTACCCTCAACCAGATGACAGTGAGGAGAGTGAGTCTCAGGTGTATCCCAGTGAAACTCTGCTCACACGCATCATAGGACAACTCCTCGTGCACGGTAGGCAAAATTCACACGAGATGACCACTCTGGTAAATTATTTGAAAAATAGAGTTCATGTACAACAGGTCACTCGAGGTTCACCTCTTCAGCTGCCATCGACATCAGTCCATGCAGCTCCCTCTCTCTCTCTCTCTCTCACACACACACACACACACACACACACACACACACACACACACACACACACACACAGCTGTTTGGATGTTTACAGGTGGCCACGAGTTCTCTTTGGGGGGAATGCATGTTTTGTGAGCCGGCGTAGAAGGCTTTCCTAGGTTTTTTGGACCCTTAGTTTGAGATGAATGTCGCGAATGCCAATGCTGTTATATTTGTTTGTTTTTGGTAAATAAGTTTTTGGTTTTGTGGGCCGATGTGGAAGGCTCTCCAAGTTTCTCCGGACCTTTGAGGGGGTCGGGTCGGTGCGTTCTTGCTGGACTAGTCTTCTGTCTTAGGTAAGTTGCCTTCTGCCCTCCATCTCCTTATACATATGCATATGTGCAAGTGTGCCGCTTTGGCGGCAGACGGGTGTGCGGCCACTTGGCGCTGAACCACACAAACGTAGCCAACCTTGCATTTTCTATTTTATTGCCCATCTAAACTTTTTCGTTATGGATGGCTTGTGATGATTTGTGAAGGGAATGAAAGAGAGAATCTGGGGTCTTTTAGAACAACACAAAACACACACACACACACCACACACACAMAMAMMAMAMACACACACACACACACAGCCAGCTAAATTACCCTCGAGGGGCGCTATCCCTCTCTCAATGTCTTTCCTCTCTCCCTCTGTCATATTCTCGCTGTACTGCTATCTATGGCACCGGGCAACATTGACGACACTACAGTCCACTCTCCCACTCTCATCTGCGGCTTGCTTGCAAAACAATCCGGCACTGCTTCTGCAGCCGTCACAAATGGAAAGTGTGTTAACACTGGCTGTGGCTAGACGTTTCCAGTTGCTGAAGTTCCAAAGTTGGACTCGATAAAATTGGTCCTTTTTTTTGCCTTGGCCGCGGCTGCTCTTAATGATTCGGACCATCGTAGGACTTTCCAGGGACTGAGCTGCAACCGACGAGAACTGACAGATAACTGTTACCTAGCGACTGACTTCTTTCTTTTTTTTTCTTTTAAAAAATCTGGACCATTTCTCAATTTATGTGTGTCATCCTTGTGCAGGGGCCATGCTAATCTTCTCTGTATCGTTCCCATTGTAGCTGACTTCTTTCTCGCCCGGACTGACAGACAACTCTTACCTAACGACTGACTCCATTCCAACTGGGACTGACAGGTAACTATCACCTAATGACTGACTCCGTCAGACCCTGGCCTACCGGTTTCTCTGCGGCCTATGGTACAGCACAAACCAGAAATTTCTAGTACAGCCTATGGGTAGGCTAAATGGTACAGGGAGGAGATACTGGCACCGGACTCTCAGAAGCAACAGGAAAGAACTTAAGGGTAGAAACATTTACAAGGAGAGAAAACACCAGTGAAAGACAGCTGCTGACAGGACAGAGGAACCTGCAGATTGATCTGAAGCACAGGCCGGCAAGAGTCAGAAAGCTGCTGCACTACAGGGGAAGGGACAATGATAACCACAGAGAGATGGAAAAAGCAAGAAGATTGTGAACTACGACTAGTAGCTATCAATCCAGCAACAAGGACAAGGGCCACAAGCACCTCATCAAATGAGTAGCACGGCCCACAGAATTGGTCACAATTACTGCATCATTCGCACCAGCTTCCTCCAATTCCTCCCATTCATTCTTTTGCCTTAAAATGCAAGTGGTTTCCCTGATGGCTTTGTTGGATTACAAGTTCTCAGACACTTACGCAGTTGACCAGGAAGAATGTCAGCAGCTGCTTGAGATTTCTCAAACAGACTTGCGAGTCCCTCATCCGCAAACACAACAGGGATGTCCGCAGCTTCGAGACCTCGAGGCTGCTCATCAACAATCTTAAATATAACCTGCACTCATAAACACAACACATTCAAGAAAGTCCATTTCTTCCTTCCTCACTAAACTGCTGAGACTGACCTTGGCTTTCAATGCACACAAGAAATACACAACATCCAGTTCTTCCGCTCTCACTGAACTGCTGACACTGACCTTAGCTGTCAATTTCAATCCACCCTCTGTAATTGAGCCGGGACCTCGTATTAATTAATTACACCTTCCAGTCCTGTTCAGTGTTCACCAAATTGAAACACCTGCTTCTGCATTGTGAAATACTTCCTTTTAACCGATTCTGGGCATTGCAAAACAAAAATGGGAAACAAAATATTCCCATGAGACTTCAACATGGTGAACAAGATGCAGATGCAAACACAATTCATCAACAACACCATACTGATTGGTGGCTGCTTCAGCAAGGAAAGCGATGGCATGCCCCCAGACCACACCGTCACCTTCACATCTAGAAACAATGTCCTTGAACATCATCACAAAAATGTGAAAAAACTCGAACAGCTCAGAAAACAAAAAAGAAAACAGGGTTGGCCAGCATTAAATCCGTTGAAGTACAACAGCTGCCGTGCACAAACATTCCGATGGAGTATCACTTGACCAAAACTAGATTCATACTCTGTTCAATTCCCAGCCAATCTCTACACAGTGCCTCTTGGATACTCACGTTGTCCATTTATGCCCCTGGACCATGGTGCGTCGGCTTGAGATGTAATCAGGACTCACATATCGAGGTCATGGTCAAAACGGTGAACACAAACTAATAACCCAGGGTGGAAATGAAAGTGGTAGAGGTTAATGTAGCAGTACGAGCCTATTCTGAGTTCAGCGAATGTTTATTGGAGCTCGATTTTTTCCAGAGACCAATATAATTTGTGTTATGATCCTGCTCCATCCATAGTGCTGAAATTCAAAGAAGAGATGGAGCGAGATAAAGATTAGATTAGAAAAGGAACAAATCACTCCTCTTATTAATCAATTAATTTGCATTAATCCAGCGGCCTAGCTCAGTTGGTAAGGCATGCAAGTGGCATTCAGGAGGTCTTGGGTTCAATCCCCATTGGCCTCATTCCTGGGCAAGCGTGGCACCCGCCACCAAGAGATACGCCGTTGGTCCCCCCGAGTGGCATTGGGGGAGGGGACCGGAGGGGAGGCAGAGTGACTGGCCCATCAAAGAAGCTCGGTCCTGATGCTACCGGCTGACCCCTGGCCGGTATCGCCCACCTGCTGTAGCAGGTATCGCACCTGCTGGTGGGTGCAGCTCCCGCATGTTCCCTCGTTGGAGGCTTGAGCACGGATGTGGCTGCTACGGGKTTCCCCGTAATACTATAATGACAATAAAAAAAGCCTGAAAGGCCGTCCTGTCCAGATTTGACAGGTAATTGAATTGGTCGGGCTTAAAGAATTAGCCTTTCAAAAAAAAAAATAAAAAAAATAATTTGCATTAAATACAACAACAAATGAATGGTTGAACACTGAACAGGCATCATGTCCGCATGTACCCCCTAACCGCCTTCTCGCCCTAACCTCACTTCTCTCGCCGTCGTGGCATGTATAGCTATACCGGAACACCAGTACTCATCATGGATTGTTCCAAGGGCAACACGAACTCTCCTAGGCTAGTCCTATCTCTTCCTGCCATAGCCACACTCTCAGAAGATGTCCAAGGCCAACCAGAACCCACTCTGGGGCCTTTTTGATGCACCGCCAACCAAGGAAGTGACGATAAAGGTCAATCATAACCAAGGTCAGTCTCTCTATGTCGCCTCCTATCACTCTCCCTCTTCCTCACCTCCTCGTCCCTTCTGCGCCCTTCTCCTTCCTCTGGCATAGGCCACTTCACCCTCTGTCACCATTGCTGGGGAACGCGCCCTGCCTCCTCTTCTCCTCCATGGCAAGGAGGTCTTGTTCTTCGCCCGACAGCTCCTCATCTCTCGCAGCACTTGGCGCGACTTCCCACTCTGGGGCGAGCAGCAGATGACTGCCGGGTAAGACACCACTCCACTCATTCTTCCCGACTGATATACCCTCCTACCGAGGCCTCTCAGTTTCACTTAGGCAGAGGAACCGGCCCAACAGCTGGCTCTCTGGGGTACTGGGCCTACTGGGAACTCCTACCTTTTGGCAGGAACTGTATTGCAGCCAGCAAGTCTCCCTCAGGGCCTGAATATAGCCTACTAGATATCTAGAGTCGGGCCCGACTATAAGCTACCGGGAGTACCGGGTCTTTGTTGGGCCTGCTCAAGCTACTGGAAAATCCTTGTCGTGTAACCTGTCCGTCCTAACCTCTACCGGTAAGACACCACTCCACTCATTCTTCCCGACTGATATACCCTCCTACCGAGGGCTCTCAGTTTCACTTAGGCAGAGGAACCGGCCCTAGAGCTGGCTCTCTGGGGTACTGGGCCTACTGGGAACTCCTACCTTTTGGCAGGAACTGTATTGCAGCCAGCAAGTCTCCCTCAGGGCCTGAATATAGCCTACTAGATATCTAGAGTCGGGCCCGACTATAAGCTACCGGGCCTACCGGATCTTTGTTGGGCCTGCTCAAGCTACTGGAAAATCCTTGTCGTGTAACCTGTCCGTCCTAACCTCTACCAGTAGTCCATCCGGTCCCAATTTTAGTCTTGCCCCTGCAGTTTCCTTTTCTAACTCTACCCCTCCCAGGAACACAATACACACAGAGCAAGCACGCAGTTAGTACTTACCAAAAGCAATCATCACATGAGGACTTTACACACATCCATGCACACGACAAACTCGCAGAGCACACAGAATCTCAGCAAATCAGTGCAGCAAACAGCCATGCTAAAAAGCAGCAAGAATCTAAAACTGATTATCCATGGGTCGTTGCATTTGAATTAAGGCGCCGGCTCATTCAGCAGGTACTTCGACAAAAGTTGGGTTCTATATGAAGACAACAACCAATGCATGTGTTCTCCATGACAACTTCTATGCATCTTGTCCTTTTCTATGATCAATAGTGTCAGATACTAAGTCGGCCATACAAAAATGCCAAACGCCTAGTGCAGTCACGATGGTAGTCTTGGCACAAGCAAAGAAAACAAGCGAACATACATTGCAGCCCAGATTTATGGAAGTACCAATCTATGGCACAGTATACTGACGAAATCCGAGAAATAAATTCTCACTATTATGACAAGCAATGCCTAAAAACATTGCCATGCTAATTGCTTGTTGATCGGAGGATAGCAAATTGTCACCTTTCAGACGTTTATTATCATCAGCATTGTAAAACCCAACATCATCACCATTATCATCATCGCGTTTCTGATAGTCTTCAGAGAATTGCAAAACACCATCATCATCATTACGCACTTGGATAGAAAGAGAGCCGAAATTACCTCTGAAATGTCCTCTTTCAGACGTCTACAGGACATGTTTGCAGCACCAACAACAATCATTTGAGGTTGCTGCTCGAGGATGAAGTTAACAAGACGCTCTCTGTCCATCTTCTTCCTTTCCTGGACAGCCGGTCCCGGTACTCGTGACGACAGGAATCCGCAGTGCAGAATATCTACGATGTCTCCATTTACGTCAAGCATCACAAACGTTGTGGCTGGCTTTCCTGGACCCCAGCAACATGCCATCACTCTTGGCGGAGGTACCTCCTCCTCAGGCTCTTCGTCATAATCAGTCTTCGGTCGAAATGGAGCCATCCCTACCGTTTTCCACACATTTTCTGCTACTTGCTTCATGATCCACTGCCTTGAACGTGCTGCTAATGTCTGCACAAACCCACCGACCAACAGCACAACAAACTTCAGCAGCTGCAGAGTTGAGACGCATAGTGCGGGGCGTTTCCCAGAGCTACTCAATCACAAATGGCACGACTTCCTGCTCACTACAAAAACAACGACTGCACTCTTATCAAGAAGCCAGTCTGCACGGTGTTTCTCCACAGTACTTTGGTTTGAACAACAATCGATATGCTTCCCAGGATGAAGGGTGCACCACAGTACCGACAGTCATCCACTCTGCTCAACAAAATTGTGTGAATAATAGCTGAGCCACCAGCTACCAGCTGGAGCCTTCGTTCCATTCTTCATCACTAGCTTTTCTTAGGGATGGAGTTATCATTAGGTGGTGGGGTCCACAAGGTTTCTGGGATCTGCACCCAGTCATTTTCAACATCATCAATCCACACTATAAATATGCAAGATTGAATCCCTCGCGCCCTTGTTTTTTAACGCCCCCCTTTCTGGCAACAAAAGCGTGTCAGCAGCCCCCATCACCCTGACAACAACGGTGGAAGGCCAGACCATCCCATCTAGCTCATTGGCTTGACAAACGTATTAACTCCTTCCTATGAAGCACCTGCCATCATCATCACGTATCCTCCTCTTCTGCATCTTTCTGGCTCATCGAGTTCTACACTGAAATTCCACAACAGCATAACAGCAACATCCTCACGATCATTTGTCCACCAGCAGCACCATCATCATGCACTTGTAAATCAGTTAAACATTGTATTCAAGTAGTAGAGAGAGAAGCAAACAAATTGAAACAGTTCATATAAAAATAAAAATAGAATTTTCTATTTTTTAAATTTTCTGAATTTTTTTCCCAATCATTTGTTTTTTTGTTTGATAAAAACATGTACTGAAAAGTCTAAAGTACAATCATCATCATTTCACGATCATCCCAATTATCACCACCTTCCACAATGAATCATCATAGGGGCTGGCTCACTGCTACCCGTGCCGGGAGACTGGAAAGGGTGAGAAGAGAGACCTTTCCCATACGTCTTCGACCCTTATTTTCTTTAGTGCACCAGTCACTGGCCCTGCCTTTCATCAAGCGAGCACCGGCTGCATAACCCAGTGCCGTCGATAGGCTCAGCCTACCAGGTTCACAGCCCCAGGAAGAGGCTGTGAATTTCAAGTACTCCAAGTTCTGCAATTCTTTGCGCTCATGTTCTTCGAGACTTCAACGAAGTAACCTGAAATTTTTCATGGCTGTGTATTACGCACCACTGATTGAGCGAAAAATGTTTTAAGAACCAGGGGGCGGGGAACTCCTCATCGCAAAAAATGCAACGCATATGCGTGCCATCGCCAGGCCCGACCCCTACAACCTGTCTCTTATACACATCTAGATGTGTATAAGAGACAGTCCTTACTGAAAAACTAATTGAGTTCCACCTCTCCCCAACAGTTTGGTATTCCAGGTGCAGGCAAAATTCAGCATCAAGAAAATGATACTTGGCACCACGGGAAATGTAAAACCTCCTGAAAACGTTTTTTGTTTTTACCCACATACCAATTGAATTCCAACTCTCACCGCCCCCCCTCCCCCCTCTGCCAACCCCAAACTCAATTTGGAGAAGAGGCCAATCCTTCACCGCAAGTTACCTGAGAGTTCATACCATGTCCAGGAAAGGTTTGTCGAAAAAAAAAAAAAGAATTATCTGACCAAGGACTCCCCAGGCATGGGAGGTTGCACACATGCTCGACGCTACCTTACCACTCGCATCTCTTTCTCCATCGAAGGGAGAAGATGGTCATTGACGACTGCTCTCAAGATCATCCGCCTCTGTTCATTCCATAGCTGCGCGCTTCGACTTACACCATCGCTCAAGTAGAGGTTCTCCAACTCCTGGAGACATCAAATACATACAGCCCAGACAGAATTACAACCAATCGAAAAGGGGGGGGGGGAAATCATCCAGGAAAGGTAGGGAAACAAGAGTAGCAGGGAAAAACGAACCGGAGTGATGCTCCGGAGAATGGGTATGGACGCATTATGCTGACAGGACCATAAGGGCCTTGAGGGGGGTCGGCGTTGAGAAATGAGACTTGAAGCCCATCTTGCTCGGGCAATGCTCATGAGTGGGACACAACAGAGGAATACGATGCAACTTTTGCAGACCCAACATTCAATAACATCCAAGACCTTCCAACCATGACATGCACGGCAACTTGCACTGCACATCTACCACACCACAAACAGTTCAATTCCACCAGAGGAAGTTTCATACACACCTTGGTTCCCAGCAAGTGAAAAAGGGGCTAAAACCAATATAGGTAAGCTGGCAGGTTTCCCAAACTCCTAAGAAGCCGGGGGCGGGGCCTGACGACATCCGCCGTTGACAACTCTCATCGGTGGCCGCCGTTTCCTTTCGACCTCCTAAAAGATTGGAGGCCCACCCGAGGCTCCCTATTTCCCAACCGTCAAAGGTACTAGTGGTTTTACATCACAGCCACAAACATGGAGTTCACATGCCAAGCTTCGAGACCCAGTAATGAGCTGCCTATTGCAAGCACAAGCTTTACCATCCATGTCAGTTAACTGAACATGACATAGAGCCAGGGCCGGAGACTGGCCCAAAGAAAATCGTCAAGACCCAGAAAACAAGAAAATGGCTTTTCCCAACTGCTGTGCAAATCTCTCACCTAAATAACCTGCAGTTCATTCACCCACTGTTACATCGCTCGATGATGGTTTCTGCATAGACATTTCTGAATTCCATGCTGGATGGCGGTTTTAAAGAGATCAGACACCCTACTTCTAACAGATCAAGTTCTCTATACAGCACTTCAGAAGACATACAGTGTGAGCTGTTGATCATAGACCTACAGCACGGGCCAGGATCAGGAGCTGGTCTAATTCTCTCCGTGTAGTACCTCAGCGGGAGCAAACCCCTCCATAATCAGCAGATCCATAGCACGGCTCAAACTGACTACCGGTGCAAGATCGCAGCCTCACCATTCCTCATGCAGCAAACAGATAGTATCCATTTACTCATCCACCAGCTGCAACACTCACTCAAAAAATGCATGATGACAAAAGACTTGAAAAGACCGCATTCAAATGGCGTCCATACCCTTAAACACGATCATGATGTTCACACCCCGAGGACTGTTCAAAGACAGTCACAGGTTATCACGTCATCAATGAAAGTGAAATATCCACTGACCTGAATGATTGATGTGTCCACAGCCTCTTTGGGCATTCCGACGGTGACTTCCAGCAGTTTGTCTGCTTCCGCTTGCTGAATGAGACACCATTGTGCATCATCAAATAGATTCACTGGTTTGTTCAAAAGGTATTTAACCCTGTAATATCGATGACTCTGGTCAATGGCACTCATTCCCACTGCCGTTGGCTTAGTACTGACAACCGCCTTTTCAGCAAACAAACTCCTGAAGTACTCCCGAACAGCTGGCTCGGCACTAACTTCAACGACCGCCTGCATCACAACCATTCAACACACCCTAACGAAGGTCAAATCCAAAGAAACCCCTGAACCTCTTAACTAATACACCACCAAATCCCCAATCCATAGCCCGTTGTGCAGTAACAGTACCAATATCTATAAAAGGCAGTAACAGTACCAATATCTACAAAAGGCTTTTTTATCCATATGCATGTTAGGACCCAACACAAGGAGTCCCGGATCATTCTTGCAGTAAAAAAAAAAAAAAAAAAAAAAAAAGTTCTCATTGTTCCGTTGTATATCACGACCGTCCCCACCGAGCCTGCTGGTAGATAATGGGACGAGAGTTTACCTTCTTCAATAATGGCCTCCGCTTGCAGCCAAAGAACATGCCCCAAGTCTAAATGCTGTGTTCCAGACTTTTTAAGTATCTTTTTCTGAAAGTTTTTTTTTTTCTTCTATTAGGGCTGCCTGGGATCCTGCCATGCCAAGTCCAGGACGTGCTACCTGGTCGAGAAGGGGATGTCAGAGCGACCCTGGATGCCCAGAGCAGTACACTGATTGTATGCAGAACAGTTGACATACAATACAAGGCCTTCGACAAACTTTTGCACCTCTGCTGTTGGTGTAATACAGCATGCATACATACATCTGATGAATAATCATAGAACTGTTGGTGCCAATGCATTTATAGTCAAAAGCCCACTGAAAATGTCCTACACCTGATGAATAATCTGATGAATAATCATAGAACTGTTGGTGTATGCAGAACAGTTGACATACAATACAAGGTGCGTGAGTTGGATGGCACTCGGATATCCCACTGAAAATGTCCTACACCAGTTGGTGCCAATGCATTTATAGTCAAAAGCCTTAAACCGCCAGTACATCCAGCTACCTGCCGCGAGCCCTTTTCACAGGCCGCCCGCCGCCAATTGCATTTTTCTAAAGTGCTGGGCTTCTGAAAATTTCGCAGGCGATGAGTTTTCTTTTCAGCAAGGCTGGGGGTGTGTACTGGCAGTTTAAAACTCCGGTACCTCCGAGCCTCTCTTTGGCAGATTCCCCCTACTAGCCAAAAAAGGAAACGAACCACCACAGAGGCATTCACGGTTTTCTTTTGCCTGACCCGGTGGCACTGTTCCTCCGAAAAACCCGGAATGTCACATGTTCGATCTCACGTTTGCCCGGGTGAGGTACAAGTAGTTGAACCAAAAGTATTGAAAGCTTTCCTCAGGAACACAGAATAACCCCCTGCTCAACATCGCTCCCTGAAACTCTCCAGAAGTAACTGCTACGGCACCATGTGCAACTCCCCTTTCCCCCAAAATATAAGTCGTGCTGGCACCGGCATTGCAAGCATCGTGCACACTTTACCGTCGCAGCAATGTAGACATCAACTGGAAAAGGAGTACCAGGATCAAATAGTAGTCCACTCACCATAAGCCTTGCACCACTTAATACAGATGATGCAGCTGGGAAATCTGTGCTGAGATAGTCTGCTGCCAACTCTTCGGGTGTACGCTGGTCGTCTTCTGGTTCGTTTCGCTGTCAAAAATGTCCAGAACAATCGTCAGAAGCGGTCACATAGTCCTACAAATACATGAGTGAAAAACACATCTGCATCTTTGAAGCAACCAGTGCAGAAATACATACTTCGGTTCTTTTCTCATTCATCCTGTTGGAAGATTATAAAATGGCTTTCTCATACTCCCTCCCCACAAAGATTGTGAACATGAGATCTTTGAAAAGGGTTGGGTTCGCCAACAGCAAGGAAGCCTGGCGACACCATACACATGTCGGTTCCAAATAAAAGAGTGACATAAACTTTCACCTGTATTACAACCGATCAGTTACATCACAATGACATCAAAATTCTAAGACGCAGCATAAATGACTGTGTTGGATCTCTATTTATCAGTGATCGTAGATGAACAGCAAATGCGGGACTGTGGTGTAAAGTCATCCTGCACACAAATGGCTCAGGGCTGCAGCATTGGCAATGGAGCAACCGACTTGCTCGCAATTGATGTGATGTTGCGAGCCAGAGCACATGCAGTGGCGTCAGACTTTCCACTCCTATTTCAGGTCCACCAAGGTTGTTGCTCTATCCAGCTGAGCTAAGAATGCAACTCAACGCAGCTGCCACAACAAAACAAGAGCTGAGAATGCGCTCATCCCCGCGTCCATGGGGAAGCAGGGGTGGGGGTAGTGCCTTGTCGGCCACCGGACGCTTGGTTGCCTCAAATTCAAAACATCTAAATCTATATGGTATAAAAATTGACTTTTTTTCCTGCCTATAAGAAGCTAGCGCCTAATCCAGGCTCCCATGAAGGTTGCGCTGGGAGAACAAGAGATGGACGTTTATGAAGTTACTTAAGGCTTCCAGGCTGAAGGAGAGCGCTCTTGTGAGCCCCATGGGCTCACGGGGAAAGAGTTGTTTGGAGACTATCAGACTTGGACCGATTGCTTCATCCTTACAAAACACGCATTCTACAACTTGTGGGGGATGTTGCATGCATTCATGGATTCCTTGACTGAGATACGAACACGATCCGTCCGACTGACCGAGTATTAGATTAAGATGATTTGCAGTGAGAAAAAACACTCCCCATTAGCTTCCGCCAAATCGTTTGAAACCCCTTGTACACCGTTTTGATCCCCTTTTCTCAAATGGTGGTTGACTAATAACATGTCCGCTCCCTCCTCCAAATTTGGAAGTTCGTATGGAGCAAGGGAGAAAGGAGAGCATTATTAGCTTTTCGAAGACAAAGAACACACATGTACTGACTGCTTCTCTATAAACCTACGAAGTGATCGCAACACGCCCAAGGCCACAAATATGCAATGTAAGGCATGCCACAAAGATGTGAACATGTACCCATATCCCTTTCCACACAAAAAGAAAGAAATGGTAACTAGTGTTCTTCACTAAAACAGGTGTAACTTTACCGCTATGATGGCGTGAAACCCAAAATCACATACACAACGATGCTGTGACACAAACATACACACGCCACATACTTGTCCATCAGGGAGGCTCACCTTGTACATAGCCTGCATATTCTCTCCCAGTTCTTCGGCACTGAGTCCAAAATGTTTGACCACAGCCCCCAGGCCTGCCCTCACACATATCTGATATCGAGATTTCCTCTTTGGTTGTTTGTACTTCGACACTGGCTGCTCAACAGTCTCTTCGATCGGGAAGTGTAACTTGAATTTGCAGTCAACATCATCCAGAGCAACCTCCGATTGTGCATCCATCATAGCCTGCATAATCTTCTCCAGTGCTTCCACCTTGTCTGAATCACTTTCTTGATACATCCTAGCCTCATACATCTTCTGCAGCGAACTCTTCCGCCTTTGCAGAACCCTCCATTTCTTATCCCAATGGTGGATTTCCCACAGCGCCTGTAGGAATGCAATGAGGTGGAGCAAGAAGAGAGAGAGAGAGAGAGAGAG